GCCACAGAGCAGCCTATGGGTGAAAAAAAAAAAAAAAAAACCCCTCCAGTAATTGCAATTTGGTAGGCATGTCCATCAGGAGCATAACCACAAAAAAGGACGTCTCATTCAGCCATGCCTAAGAAGAAAGAGCAAGTCAGGCAGTTTGTTCCCAAGTGGCCATTTTAGGGGGTTTGATTCTCAGGGGGTCGTTCAAAAATGAAACTTTTCCGGGGAGCACGTGTCAACTGGCGACCAAATTTGAACCACAAATGCTCGACAGACACGCGATGCTAAGTTGGCGAAAAAGTCGCCCGTTTTCTGAAGCTGAGCCCTGAGCATCTGTGATGTCATTGTCAGACGACAGCAAGTGGCAAATTGGCCGCCCCACCAAAGATGGCTAACCAACAACAATAACAACAAAAAAAAACGGTTGGACTTTACTGCTTAACTGATATTCCACAAACACGATATTTAATCAGAATGCCGTGTTTAGTCTAGTTGGGCCAAATAGAACATGACTTCTCCTTTAACTCTGGCAGTGGCACAAGGGAAGCAAAATTCAACTGACAACCCATACATGCGAGCGCACACGTGTGTGCGCGCACACACACACACAAACACACACACACATGCACGCACGCACGCAAACTGGGTGTGTTTTCCTAATGTGATTAAATCATCCCATGCTCTGTCTATGGGCTCTCCCCGGAGAGCCTGCGGAGGCCCCACACTGACATTCCCCCCGCAGGTCAGCAGGGTGCACGTTTCCCTTGGACATGCTTCATGAGATCTCTCGCCAGACACGCCGACTGCAATTCTGGAACACGGAGCAGTTGTCCAGCTCAGACTCCCCCCCCACATCACCGACAAGCGACATGGGCCCAAGATTAGAAGTCCACACCGGGTAGCCTCCTCGCATTCCGCAAGAGGTCATATAAGGGGTCTTTTTTATGTATGCACTACTTATGCATAATTTACGAGACCGGTCATGACACCGCGAGCTTTGGATCAACACCACATTTTGCTTTTGCAGTGATAGAGCGAGCCAGCTATTGCTTTTCCAATGTGAGAAAGGGAAGAAATGTGACTTGGAGTAGCATTATTCACAGGGTAAGGCACAGGTGTCAAAGTCAGGGCCCGGGGGCCAGATTTGGCCCGACACATCATTTTATGTGGCCCTCGAAAGCAAATCAAGCATTTCAAGTTTCATGATGCTTGCTAAAGTCTGAACCAAAATTTCAAATTGTCATATATAATCCACAATAACAGTCATTATTCTTGACTTCTGATTGTAAAACCAGTTATTGATCAGTTTGTTGTGTGCTGTGTATGTAATAGGTGGAGGGGATTAAACATGTATACGGTTTCCCAAAATTCATAACGGCGCTCAAAGGGAAACCGTAACTACAATGTGGCCCGCGACAAAAACGAGTTTGACACCCCTGGTGTAAGGAGAACGGTGACTCACAGTGATAAATGTCAAGTGAGGTTTGCAAACGCAAGTTACGTGTGCATCAGAAGACTGAGGATAATAGTTTTGAGTCACAACCTGGTCTCGGACTGAGATTTTACAAAAACGGGATTTTGCAGAGGTCAGTACTTACGAGGCTGGATTCTACAGTTTTTTTTTTTTTTAAGCCACAATGCAAAGTTTCCCCATCATTCTCAATTGCCTTTTCACCGTTGTTTTATACATTTTATTTAACACAATGAGAAAAAATAAATTGTGACCCAAGACCTTTCTTTCCGACACATGATGAGTCACCTATGGGGGAAACATTCAAAGTAGAGCGCCACCTAATGCCGACGAGGACTTACTCGAGATCAACTACATTCGCCTTTAAGTATCAGTGTCTGGCATCGGCAGCCTCTGTGAGTACCCGATACCTTAAAACAAGGCCTGGTATCATTCCAATACAGATACATGTTATCTGTACATTTTCCCCAAAAATGTTACATGACATTTACTTCATCTTCAGTGCGCAACACAAACGGTGTCCAAAACAGGGGACCGGCTTCAGCTCCTGAGCAGACACAAATCCAATCTTCAACTCAATCAGCTGGGTAAAGATAATTATCACAATTCGGGGTAAAATTGACCCAATCCGCTCAAAATCCACACCTACCTAGCGACTGGGTTCAGAAAACAACTCAGCATTTTTTGTGTGTGTGTGTCTGAAAGAGAAACATAATAAAATGTGGCATATTTGAATGCTCAGTTTTGATCATTGCGGTCCAATTGAAACCAGGAATTGAAATTAGAATATTTGTTGTCGTTTGTTTTTTTTAATTCATGAAGACTATTTTTGTTTATTTTTTTTCTGAACACAAATACATATTTTGTTCATATAACAAATTTGACCTCAGTTTAATATTAATAAAAATAATAATGATGATGATTATTATTAATAATAATAATATTATGCTTGTACGTGTGCTATTATAGTTATTTTTTTTTATTATTTATGTACAGCAAGAAGAGATGAGATATATTTGACATAGATCTTTGATTCAAGCTTGTTTAATTGCGCCAGTGTACCTAATGAAGTGACCAGCCAGTGCAAGTTGGGGTTAGTTGGAACTCTTGCCGATTTTGCCCTTCAAGAGGCGTCAGGGCCTTGGAGTTGGCTAGATTGTGGCTTGTCAAGGCCTATTAATGCCGTACACATCCAGACACGCAGAGCAGGAATCCCGCCTGGTCACATATTCAAGAAGGCGAAGAGGGGACGGAGTGTGAGCGCGAGGGGATTTACTTGCGATGCTGCTTCTTCAACGAGGATCAATGTAACCTAATTGTCTTCACGGCAACCGTGTAACACGAGAGGCTTGATGAGGTTGCTTAGAAGCTTATCAGGGCACAGAAGGTCCATAATAAAGCAGACTTCAGACAACAATTGGGAATTCGGGAAGCTTCCAGTCTATCGGCCAAATCGTTTTCCAACCGCCAAAGTTCAAATCAATCCATATCGCTGAGAAAGAATGAGCATCTCCATCTCGCTTTTCAAAGGAACCATTGCGTCAGAGTGCCACATCTGGATGAATTTGTGTTTACCTGGACCGATAATATGCAGGCAACAACATGTTATCAGTGTCATGTCCCCACAAAGTTAACATGACTAAAAGGTGAAAAAGTTTAAATCCCCGCTAGCTTACTAAGCGCTAACACGATTGTGGATATCGATGCAAGCATCGTGGGAACGTGAAAATAGTATACCAAACCACCAGAAGAGTTCGAAATGACTCTTAAAAAACGTTCATGCCAACTGCGACTGGTCACTTCCAAGCACGGATACCGAGCAGTAAAATTTCAAAGTCAAGACGATAAGACTTTGTAGATCGTTGCCTTCCCAGCCGCGGGGACAGGCAAACAAACGTGACAAGGCAGAACGCGTGGTGTGAGGTACAAGGCTGATGCACACGGCCACAGGAACAGCCAAACGTGATACGGCAGCACTGGCGGAAGGCGAAGGTGAGTCGCACGGTGCAAGATAAGAAAACATGAAGCGCCGCTGCAATACTTGGTCTTTAGTGGACGTAGACCCAAAAACGTCTTAGACACTTTGATTCTATATTTTAAGACTATTTTTGGAACCACTTGCACATTGTGAAAAGAAAAAAACAACAACAACAAAAGCAGAATATGTCTCCTTTTTTTCGAGAGGGAGAAGCACATCGCAAAACAGATTGCATTTGGATTGCGTTTTCGCCGTCACGCACGCCTGCCGTCGTCATCCAAGAACGCTCAGAGTAAACACGCACAGGAAATGATCAACGTGTCATTTGCCAGGACCGTTTCTTTTCTTTTTTTTTTCTTTTTTAAACAGCAAGTTGTCGGTTTTGCACGAACAAATGAATGTTGGCGAGATACTTTTCTTCTCCGCGCGAACGTTCACCATATAAGTCAGGAGTCGCAGTGCGGACTCGAGGGAAGCCGGACTCAAACACGGCACGCAGCCTGAAGTTAATGACGCGTTACAATGTACGGCAAGCAACTTATTGGTCCGCCCTCTGTCTTTTTTGGGCGGCCACGCTCATTTCCCTTTAGCTTTAATCATCTCACACAGGAAGCAGCGGTCAGAGGGCAGCCGACTCACTATCACTCTTTCCGCACTCTGGCTGAGTCCGTATCGGACGGCGGCCAACTGCGCCAAAATACAATATCGCGGCCCAAAAATCTGAGTGCAAAGTTGTTCTTTTGATACTGATAGGAACTTGTATTCCATAGAATAATATTAACATGCAGAGGATTGTGTATGTGTGTGTGTGTGTGTGTGTGTGTGTGTGTGTGTGTGTGTGAGTGTTTTTTTTTTTTAAAAGATAACCATCTGCTTGTGTGAAGTGACAAATGAATCACCTTTTTGTGTCTAAGGGGTTATCTAAATGAACTTGAGCTTTTTGAAAAGAATTATCTTCACTGATTGACACAAAATATGTTTGGACCAAAACGGGACACACCCCCAAAAATGTCAAGGACTCATGGTCAAAGTGAAACAAAAAGTCAGCTCTTTTATGCGGCCATTTTCGGCAAACTCCAACGTTTGGACTTGAACAGACAAACTCCTACTTGGGAATTTTGACCAAATGATTTCCACCCAAATTAGGAAGCAGTAAGTATCTTAGGTAGACGGGCGATGCGAAATTGCTCAGCTTTTCTGGCTGAGCCACCTTATGTGGGCGGAGCCTGTCGTCAAACTCATGATCATTTTGAAGATGACTGAAAAATGCTGACAAGTTGTTTTTTTGTTTTTTTCTTTTATATCAGCACCTTAAAGCAGTTTTGCCGATGGACACGAAATTGAGTGGACGTGTTTATCATAACAGGTTGCATCAAAACGGCCGCAAGTGAACAGGACGTCGGCCATTTTGGTTGGGATTTGCACCACATACGCCCCAATAGGGCAAATTTTATACCTCATCCGATCAAAACTCAGACATTTCTAAGTACGCTCGCTATTTTGTTGGGTTTTAATCATTTGATTTCAGTTGAACGCGCTCGGTGGTTCTCTGACGGTCAATACCTGTGGGTCCATCGACTCTCGTCGGCAGGATGTGGTCTCATTACGTCTACGTTGATTTCCACCAACTCGAGGCCGCTGCATTTCTTCACAATCACACTTGTAGTGGCTGGAATATCTTTTCTATGCCAGAAACACAAAATAAAAAACATTAAGTATTAATACTGAAGTTTTTTTTTTTTATACATTTATAATGTATTGACCTAAACCACACCCACTCAGGAGGCAAACAGCTTCTTAGTGTTGCGTTTCTTCAAGCTTCCTGGATTTAACTGTCAACACAGGTGGGCCCCTTAAGTTTCCTTTGGCCCTCGGGGGTGGAATACGTTTCCCATTAAGAGGGTCAAGGGTCGCGTCGGTGCCGGAGGCCAACCGATCGGGAGCGCTGCTTAGATAAGCGCAGGCCGCCAATTGTGGCTAATCAGCGCCATTAGCCATCAAAGGTTTTTATCTTTTGCTTTGAGTGCGGCGGATTCGTGTGAAGCACTTGGTGACTCTTGATGAATTGATCCAGTTTTGTTTCGTCGCAGAAAGGCACTCGGAGCATAATTTCTCATTAAAGACTCGAAGATTGTTACGGAATCATCTCGGACAGACACATTGAAGACGTGCCACGGTTGATAAATTAGCTCCTTATCGGAGGCTTAACCACCGCCACATGTTTTCGATTCTCATCTGCCCGACTTTTGGACATCTCCTGCCTGCTTACGATAAACTCCGTAGAGCCTCGTTTTATGCTGCGGGTGGAACTCCAAAGGAGCCTTTACAGTCCAAAAAAAAATGACGAACGGCGTTTGGTAATCACAAACGGCTACAAACAGAACACGACCCAGCATGAAATTCTGACGAGACCACGCAAGGGTGTTTGACAAGATGCCATAAACATTTGGAGAACTTTCCCAACTATGCTTTTAATCAACGCGCCTTCGGACCAAACAAAAACAAAACGATGCGTGCAAAATCACACCAAGATGCGACTAATTGAGTCAAGATATCGATGGCTATCCGCACCATGAAACAATCGAGTAACTTTGACACCCGGCAAGAAAATCTCAGCTTTTCCCTTTATTTTACGACAACCACAATCCCCTCGGCCATTCCATAGCGACCAATCAACAGGCCGCCATGTGTCTGGGGTTACCATTAACGCCGTTGATGGCCCGAATGAGTCCGCATTCAAACGTAATGACTTGGATGCTAAAAGGAGTGCTGAAAAACAACACCGGCGGCGATCGAGAGGACTAAGTGGAGGGATTTACAAGGAAGCAGTGGCGGAGGGGACCAGTCAGGAGGGTTGGACTAATTAAAACAGCAACTGGATTTGATGGAGATTTGGGAACAAGTTGCAGGAAATGGCGCAAGATTGTGTACAGAGTTCAAAACCCCAAGACAGCACACTGGAATAAGATGTGATCGGCAAGCAACCTGTAGCTAAAAAAAGAAAAAAAAATTAAATACATTTTTTATAATGCTCGATTTTTCAAAATTTTCTTTGATTCCTGGAGCCACAAAAACCACGCATTCTGAACTCGAGACTGTTATTGTCAGTTTTATGACATTCGGTTCTCACAGCTGTGTTGACAAAAACACTGCATTCAAATTGTCTGCAGATGTCTTCCCCCCCACCAAAAAGCTGACACGAACAAAATAAGTACCTTGACCTCAACGTCAGCGCCTGCACATTTTGCAGGGGGGGGGGTGTTTGTTTTTTATGTTGACAATGCCATATACGGCATACCTTGACCTCAACGTCAGCGCCTGCACATTTTGCGGGGGGGTTGTTTTTTATGTTGACAATGCCATATACGGCGGAAAAAGAAACTAATCCCAGTTCTGCGTATTACATGACATTTTGTTCAAATTACGTCTGGGATAGTCAAAATATGGATTTACGGGCTTACTGATGAGAGGGCGGGGGGTCAAGGCAAGTTGGATTTATCAGCGCTTTTTAAAACAAGAGACAGATTGGAAACAGGAATGTGTCCAGGCTGTAGGGAGTCATGTTAAAGACTCACTATCAGTATGTCTGTGTTTAGCCCGTGGCCACGTCAATGACACGAGACTGAAGATATCATCGCAACGAGAATGTACGCGCAAGTGAGGACGCAACGATGGAAAGTTTTGCTTTGGATCAGGTTACAAACATTAGATGTACTTTATAGTTGCTCTTTCATTTTTGAAATCCCAAAGTACTGAGAAGATTCACCACTAGCTGGCATTGGAACACGAACAGGAAAATGACTCAATGGGAAACCTAAAGAGACGGTAACTCCATATATAAGGCGCATCGGATTATAGGGGGCACTGACGGGTTTTGAGAAAATGGAATGCTTTTAGGTGCGCCTTATAGTGCGGAAAATACGGTAAGTTAAAATATTTGTTTTTGATGACAAGTGTTGCAAATCGAACGAAATTGCAAATTTGGTTGCTCCCTATTACCCCCCAAAAATGTGTACGGTACATAATATCGCGCAAGCCAATACCGGTATCACGCCGCAAAAGTTGCATTTTAAAGTCAAATAGCTATTTGAATGTTTGACTGAGGCGAGAAAACAAAATAAATATCTACATTTCCGCCGAGAGGAAAAAGTTCCCCAAAATTTGGTGAAAAGAACCCGGCCAATTCTCTGCTCGCTATTTTTCCATCCGATCCCATCACGATTATTTGCCCCAGCCTCCTCATAAAAACAGTTTGTTCATATCTTGATATTTTTCCGAAGACGACTAAAACCAAACGGACGCTGCAACGCCACGGAACCCGACGCTCATTAGCTTCAACTTTTGTTTGCGACGCTCTTATGCCCCAAATTAACGACGCCTGGCAATATATTGAAATGTCTTCCTTCTGTCACAGCCTGTCACAGTAGAATTGGCCTCAAACCTCCTTCCCTTCTGTCTTTCCCTTGCTGTACCACTCTCTGTTCTGTTTTTTTTTCTTCTTCTTCTTCCCCCTTCTTGCAAGTGTCCCAGTTAAGAAATTGCTTACATCCTCTACAGTCTGGGGTTGGCTTGAAATTTCCCATCGGGCATGTACCGCTACGCAGAGAAAGAGAAGGGAGCGCACTTCGACAGATGCCGTCAGAGAACAAGCGTGTGAATTACCAGGCAGCCTGCCATCTTGGAGTTCACACGGAATGGCATTAATACGCGATTAGCATCCAAACAACAACAACAACATGAAAGCCGCGGCGGCGGCGGCGTCGACGGGGGAGCAGGTAAAGGTTGCATCATTTATATATTAATGGCTTGACTAACAAAGACTCTGCCGCAAAAAAGTTGAAATGTCACAGCAATCGAGGGACTTTGGAGGATTTTTTTTCTAAGGGCGGGGGAGGGGTTGAGGGTAGGGCGAAATGCCTTCAGCAAATCACGTCCCGATGAATTAAACATTCGCCACTGTTGACCATGACTTATTAAGCAGGCATGGCGTATTCATGAGTACAATTAAAGACGACACGATCCTGTTAATTTTGAATGCCGGTAAATATTGGCATTACCCAATTAAGTCACATCGGACGACGGCGGAAGCGCCCGCAAGTGAACCGTGAATGAGAGGAGGAAAGAAAAAAAAAAGTTACAATTGAAGTTGAAATCAAAGAGAGAGAAAAAAAATAAAAATCAATGACAGTGTTGTCATGCTCTTGCATGTGGGCAAGGAGAGCCACAGTCGATGCACTTTGAGTCGGTTATTGAACAAAATTCCAAAGGCGCAAATACAAAGTGTGCTGTCGGCCACATCTCACGCCTAAACGCTCACACGTAGACAAACCTCCAGATGTCACTCACGAGGCCACGCCCCTTAAAGTGGCTATACGACGATGCAGATTTTTTTTTTTTCCCCACCAGCTCATATTACAAAAACAGCATTTGAAACAAGGGTGTGTAGACTTTTGATACCCACTTATTCTGCATAATTTGCAACGGCACGTAACAAAGGCGCCGCGTGCAGTTTCGACGTCAACATTTCATCTCCTCCACTGGCCTAAGTGTTTTCAAAAAGTGGATTTTTTTTCCGATCGCCGTCTTCCTGCTTTCAGCGCACGTCACCATAAGCGCTCCATTTCCAAATCCATAATGGACCCAGAAGCACTTTTCTCCGCCTCCCTTGCGCTACCTTACATTAAACCGTCTTTGCCCATCAGTCGGGCGGCCTGTCACGGCTGAGAGCATCATCTGTCTTGATTGTGGTTAGCACTTATTTGGATGGGTTTTTTTTTTTTTTTTGTTAATTTTTTTTGGGGTGCTCCAGAGAATGGTTCTCGACGCCGAAGAACAATGATAGGGTGAGCTGATTTGACCCTTTCAGGCCGTCTGGACTGTGTTATTCCTGTCTTCTTATCTTTGTGTGGCGCAAGTTTTGACATCCCACAACAGCTTTTTTTGAGAGGATATGCACCTCCCCCAAAAAAGGACCCCCCCCCGCCCCCAAAAAAATGTCATCCCATCAAAGCGGTTAGTTTTACTTAGCGGGACATTGTGTGGCCAAATCCTATATGTCGCCTTTGTCAAGAAGCCAAAAGGCGCCCCAAAATTTTTAATCGGTTCATCAACAACTAATCGATGAGCAAATTAAGCGGCAATTTATAAAATGTTAATACGCGATTGTCCAAATCTTGTGATTTAAACCTCTCAACGGTCATTTTCCAATTTGGTTGTCATTCGTGGAAGCAGAATCTTATCTTTTAAGTTTCGGTCGCCAAATTGTCACTCAACCCACGTGAATCTCCAATGCCACTCCCTCTGTTGCAGCGGCACCGCCATATCGGTCTGCCAAATTGCCAACCGCACGCAATGAGCCGTGCCCTCGCACGAAACTCCAGACCCGCCGGCATTTGCGCCCCACCACAGATGCGCTGACATCCGAAAACAGACACACGCGTGTGTTCTCGTGCGAGCAGAGTTTTGAACTTGTCGCTATCTTTGTGTGCAACAAGCATTGACGTCACCTTTGCCAAGCGGACGAGAAGCGCGAAAAACCCGACGACGAGCGTGCGAGTGTGTTTTCGTGCGAGCGTGCGTGCCTCACAGATGAGTATCGGCAGGCGGTGTCTCAGAGAGGAGCGAAGTGGGAAAGGGGGTGGAGGGGGTTACCAAAGGGAGGTGGAGATTTACTATCCCACCC